CCATATCCTGTGGGACACTGCCAATCCCTATCCTGCCTAGTTCCTGACTACTCAAAAGTCCTTGAAAAATCCTCTGACACACTAATGGCGATACACTCTGCTTAAAACCTTCAGTTATTGCCATTAATCTTCCAGCATTCCTTCTCTCCACACCTGTTTTTTCTTTCCCTGTTCATACTGTATTTTCTTTTCCTCTTCTTAAGGAATTATGAGCCCTGTTAGCTTCAATTTGAAATAATTTCCAGCATAGATTCTGACAACATCTGGCAAAATAAAATAATACTGTATAAAGATATAGCGAATTACTTTCCTGATAAAAGACTCAGGAATTTTAGCATCCACAAAAGATGGACATCTCTACAAGAATGTATTTCAATCTCGCTCATTATAAAAGTCCAATGGCAAACATAATTTTGTAAAAAGTATGTGTCAATCTAATGAACAAACGTCTAAGAATAATACTCTATTGAACAGTGCTGTACATGTGTTAAAGTTTCTCCATAATAACATGTTTTAACATTTCGCTGGTCTTAGATTTTTCTCCTGCTGTTAGCTTAAAATTATAACAATCATTGGCCTTGACTTTGTGTAAAATTGGCTGCTGATACAATGAGCTTTCTTCAATTCTACTGGGGAAAATTAATTCAAGAATGGGAAAAAAAAAGCATTTGTTGGAAATTCACCATCTTACAAGTAACAGTGTGTTATTCTTCCACCCGAGTCCTCATATATTCATCTCTTTTGTTTGTCCTGCTGACGTGAAAGGCGTTATACAAATATAATTTGTTGTTGTTGTGATACTTCTGAGGCCTGAAACCCATAACATCTTTATTTGTAAGACTATTTTGTCTTCAATTTTAAGATTGTGCAGAAATTTGAAAAATTCTTAAATTCAGTCGTCGTTTGGAAATTGGTTCTTTAAGAACCGCAGAAAAATGACCTCCAAATCCCTTGGGATCCTTTGAGTTTCCCTCTGTTTCAGTCAGCTTCTTGCGAAAGTGTATATTATTATTTTATTGAATGTTTCCGCTGGTGAGAATTCAAATATTGTAAAAGTTTTAGGCAGCTAAAGAGGAAATTTAGGTTTAAATTTAGAACAACTGTTCAGAAATAGAAGGAATGAAGTTGCATTTGGATTGTGTCTTTTCATGCCAAAAAAACATGTTACAAAAAAAACTTTTCAGTTAGGCAAACTTGGCAGACACATTGCATGTGGGAAGATCTCACAAAGAGCCATAAGGTGAATGTCCAATTCATCTGGAGGACTGTAGGCCAAGAAACACCCTTTTCTTTTTGACAGATTTTCTTTTCTAGGTTGGTCTTGAATTGCCAACCTTCTCGTCCATAGCTCAGAGTGGTATGAAATGAGCTGAGCTGACACCATTATAGCAGCAGTCCAATTGAGATTTACTGATCAAGTTGCAAATTAGATTATGTCTTATTTGTAGAACTGGGCACCGCTCAGTTTATTTAGTTGGAAAAATATGTATATCTAAGTGTTCCTGGTTTACTCGAGATGTTCCCATTTCTGTTCTTCAAGTCATGTGATAAGGTTGCGTTCTATAATGTAAGTCAAGTTTTCTCTGCGCTGGTTAGCTACCCTCTCAATCTGGTTAGTCAAATCTAACCATGAATGCAGTCAGGTTTTACATACAGTGTGCATACTCTATTTCTTGATCTGTCCTAACTTGGAGTCTCTTGTATACGCTGAGTGCATTAGTTACCGATTTTCTGGGTTGTATGTGGATGCTTCTCCACCTTTCATTTGAACCATTTTTCTCTAGTTATGTTTCCTGCACTAGTTCTGTTGCTATACTTCCTGTTGTTTTAATAAATATATTGAAATGAATAATACATTTTGGAAAAAAAACACAAAATACTGCAGATGCTGGAAATCTGAAACAAAAACAGAAGTTGCTGGGAACACTCAGCAGGTCAGGCAGCATCTATGGAGAAAGGAAAGTGAGTCAACGTTTCGGGTCCACGACCCTTGGTTAGAATTGACAAACTGTGGACCCAAAAGGAAAGTGAGTCAATTTTTTGGGTCTATGACCTCTTCATCAGAACCATTCTCAGAATCTTCCCAGCGATTTCTGTTTTTGTTTCATAATACATTTTGGGTTCAACCCAAAACAAAAGTTACTTCAATGCCAGATATAGACTGAGAAGTAGAAAATCAGATGTCCCCCTGGGTTGCTCAAAAACTGCAGTAGCTGATACAAGACAGAGATGTATCATTCTGGTTATTGTTGTACTGCTGAGTTTAAAGGTTTGCTTGGATATTGCTGACAATAGTCAGCATTGTAAGAATTCTCAATACGCATTTCCTCCAGATACAGGAGGTAATAATCCTCCAGATAAAATTAGTCAATTTCTTCATGGCTATTTGTGGGATATTACTGTGCACGAATTGGCGACTTCATTCACCTACAAATACATTACACTTTACGAAGTATCAATGTTAAAGTTTCTATATCAAATTAAAGGATTATTATTGTTACCGACTGGATATGTTTTGGGAAATAGGACTGAAGACTGAATCAAGGCCCCCAAGACTGGGTTTATATAATACATTTTAACATCAAGCAGATAAAGAGATTCCATTGAACAACATTAACATTCCATGACACACATGGCATAACACTTCAAAATCTGAATTATAAATCCCATTTTCATTCCCAAATGGTTCCACCTGCTATTGCTGAACACAATTGCATGCTGAGAATAAGGAAAGTTTGTAAAAGCCAGAGCCGATTGCTCAGGTATCCATTCAGCTCCAAGGCATGTTCCATTGATAGACATTTAGTTCACTCCATTTGCTATACTGTACAGTATTTGCTAATGACAAGGAACAACACTAGAAGAGGGTGAAACCTGAGGCAAGATTCCTCGCTCCAGACGCCTCTGTTTGTCTAGCAGTAAGTAGGAACACAGTTAGCCGTTTGGCGGATCGTTTTCCGGGAGTAATAATCAATTCAAAAAATAATAATAATGATTTGGTCACTCAATCCAAGACTGTTTGTGGGACACTGCTGTGCGCAATTGGCTGCTGCATTTCGCCCACAAAATATACAGTCAATTCACTTTATAGTCTCGTCTGTGAAGGGCTTTGAGACAACTCAACAATGTGATAAGGCCCTATATCAAATGCAAGGATTATTATTATCTAAATATATATAGATAATATACATATATATAGATATATATGTGGAGTCCTGTAGCTCAGTGGTTAGAGCACTCGCCTTCCAAGCGAGATACCTGGGTTCAATTCCAGGCAGGGCGAAACCTTGGGTAAGTTTCCTTACTCCACACGCCTAATAATAATCCCTCCAAAACAAAACAATAATAAATTGGTCATTTTTAATCCAATCCACAACTGTTTGTGGGACACTGCTGTGCACAATTGGCTGCCGCGTTTCGCCCACAAATATACAGTCAATTCATTTTACAGTCTATTCTGTGAAGCGCTTTGAGATGTCGAGAAGACGTGAAAAGCGCTATATCAAATGCAAGGATTATTATTATTATATAGCCAACAAGGTTATTCTATTGAGTGCTCACAGACAACATCCTAAATCATAGCAGAAGATCTCAAGAATGGCTAAGGGAACAGAGGAACTATGGAGTTCATTCAAGGAGGTGATTCAGAATGCATTGGACCAATGTGTACTCATGCAAAGAAAAGGTACCAAGCTTTTATTATTGAAAAAAATAGATGGAGTCCAATCAACATTAGAGTTCTGACACATTTTACATTTGGATTGGGACTTAGAAATCTTATTTTGAAATAATACTTGGTAAAATCAGTGTTATGCTGGGATCAAGTTCTCCTTGATTCAAATCTGACCATTAAACATTGATCACCATTGGGCTAAACTTTTGAGCAGCAGGGGCTCTTTACATGCACTTTATCCTGTTGAGTTGTTGTAGCTAAATGCATTAAAGCATTACTAAGCATGCAAAGTTACTAAGGGTGGTGCAGACCACATCCTTTGCAAGTAATGGTTAAAAAGAATGATCTCACTGAAACAGTATTTGTCCAGCTAGAGCTCAGTACTAACATTAGCGTTTGGGCTCACAGGATTGAGAATATGTCACTGCCTCTAAGTCTGCACCTTGGATTACTGCAGACCTCTGTGGCTTTGCCAGCCACTTTTCAAAGCCACTTTAATCTCAGAGAAACTACACTTCCCCCCTCAGCATTTCGCCTGCTTGGGATTTGAGATTTGCAATTTCCAGATGTTGTGGCATACTCACAATCCGCACAGGCTAACATTACTTTATTAATGGTACTAATATTACAGTATAATACACAAAAGGATTATGTTGAGTCATCATAGTCATGGTACCAACTGCAAAAGAGTGAAGGGCTGAGTCGACCCATCAGAATCTACTGTCAACCAATTGAGCCATCCAAGATGCCTTCACTAATACATTAAAAATAAAATATTTCTCAATCAGAAGTTTTTTGCATTAATAGTGACTTTGGGTTTGTGCATATTAATTTACAGGATTCCTGAATGGCAAATCCCATGCTTGCAAAATCTTTAAAGAGGTCAGTGTTGGTTTTTTTCTCTAAACATTTTGCCTGCTTGGGATTTAGCATTTGTAATTTCCAGATCTTGTTGCATATTCACAATCCGCCATTTGCAAACCAGGAGTTGCAATGAACACAAGAAATCCGGTGTGCAAATTAACATTTTCAACCACATTCAAGCTGATTCTCAACCACTTTTTTATGTAACAAGAAAATGCAAAAGTAACAAGAATACGTTTTGACGTCAGTTTGAAAGCCAAATATTATAGTCAGGTTGAAATCTGCTCTCAAAACACCAAAGTTGCAATTGCAAGTTAATATGAAAATCCTGTTAACAAATACTCTTTCATCATCTATTCCCTTTCCCTTGCTCAGGAGTCCAGTCAATCTCAAATGTTGAAGAGTCAGCAATCTCATTAGTGCAAAGAGAGAGATGAAAGTCCAATGCAGGGATTAATGTTTTACAGCACCCACCTCAAAGCAGCACCATAATTTCTGCTGGTCACTCGCAGGTCAGTGAAAATTATTAAAAGCAAGGAAGCTAATAAGAAACAATTTTGTAGGGAAATGCTGCAGTTTGCGTAATGATAGATTGAGAAAATCAGCACTCCTTAGGGGATTGACTGCTGCTGCTGGTTTGGCTGCTCAGAACTACTTGGTTATTTTTGGGACCCATCCTGTTAGCTTGAGGTTTTCTAATGGAGATTAATGTCCATTTCCATTATCTTTTCTGACCTGTATAAGCTGAATTGGAAATGCCTGCCTACCCTTGCCTTAGGGCAAAACGATCACAGAGGAATCGTTTCTGGGCCTCTCTCTGCCTACATAAATGCATTCAGTAAATGAAGCAAGCATGAATGAGCCAAACAGCATTACTTTCTGTAATGATTTACTGCTCCCTAGCACAGCCTGTTAAAAAAATTAAATGATCAGACGAGGATGATTGCAGTACTGTAGATACTCTATATTAAAAAAAGAGGCAAGTTTATGTGCATCCAGTTTGATTATCTGGTGAACATCGCAGACTGACTTCGGGGATGTTTCCAGTACGGGCACGTATGGGCATTTGCTTCCCATTTCTCTCTCTTCAGCTCCAACAAGATGATAGCAGCAGTGATGAGAGGAAAGGCCATGTCCAAGCAGTCTTGTGAGGTGCATGTCACAGATTAACACACTGAGTCTGAATTTTACTGGAATCACTGACCAAACGAAGAACATTTTGCTTTGAATTTTCTTGAACAGTCTCCAGATTATTGCTTTTCAGCTTTTTATAAACGAATAGATTATTATGTTTATACTGAAAAAATTCAAGCAAAAAAAATGCTGTATAATTCAAATTCCAACAGGTCTTACTTAGTCTATAGGGCTATTTTGTCTTAAAATTTAAGGTTGCTCAGAATTGAGAAAAATTCTTTAATTCAGTCTTAATGTGGATGACTGTTGTTTTAAGAACTGTGGAAATTGGCTTCCAGTCTGGGAATATTAGAGCTGTATGTACATTATTTTGAAATATTAATGCATTGTCTCATTTGGAAATACAGTAAAACCTGCATAAGTTTGATCTGTATAAAACGTATAATCACCTAGGTTGTACACCTGCCTAAGTTCCATTGAATTTCCTATTAAGTTTCACATAACTCATACTTTTCATAAGTCATATTAAATGTATGGGATAACGTATTTGAGGTTTACTGTATAGGCACTATATCTTATTTGCTTTTGTAAAATGTTATGCTAAGTGAATGTAACAGTAAATTACATTTGTTTCCCCTGCTCCTGTAGACCCACAACTGGTGGATATAAGACTGTAAGCTATTTACAATGCGTTGTGACTACTGGGACGAGAAAGGGCTGCTGAGTGGAGTGTGACCAGAATATAAGGACCTAAAGATGTGAGGTAGATTTAGAGATTGGAGACATATGGTTGTAGGCCTGAAACTTGAGCTGCTAAAGCCTCAAATATAGTACAGAAGGGAATCTGAATGTCCTGAAAGTGGAAATAATGTTTAAATTATGTATGTCTGCCTCAGGTGCTGAACATAAAGACTGAAATGTGCCTTGTTTTTATCCATATTGATTATACAGTTTATAAAGCTGGGTGAGAATTGCACGGAAAGATTTTTACCAAGCATTAAAATGAGAAATTAGTTGTATATTAAATAAACATTTATTTATACTTATATATTATGTTCAAAGGAATACCGATCACAAGAATCAGATTAGTGAACCTTCACATTTTGTAAAAAAACTTTGATAAAGCCATTTAAGATAAGTAATGATAAAAATAACCTCACTGAGTTTATTCATCAGTATTGTCTCAAAGCACTTGAGAGAATTCACTGTGAAGTCACTGTGTATTTGTAGATGAATGTGGCAGCCCATCTGCACACAGCAATGTTCCACAAACAGCCATGAAACAAATGACCAATTTTATTTGAAGGTTTGTTAGCCAAGACACTGTGAGAAACTGCCTTGTCTTTTCGAGTAGTGCCATGGGATCGTTATCGTCCACCTGAACAGGCACACAGGACACCTTGGTTTAAAGTATCATCAAAGGATGACACTTCTGACAATGCAACACTCCTCCAGCAGCTCTGCTAGATGAGTTGTTTTTATCACAAAATGTGTGAGTGTTTGTTTTCCTCTCAACAGCTCTATTGTTACCCTTCATATTTCACAAAACAAACAGCGATTCACAACCAAGACCCAGCACAATGAAAGTCATACATTGCATGGGGCCCAGGATCATAAATTCACATGTCTCAAAACAATATTAAATAGAATTGAATGTCACAACACAGAGACAATCCATAACCAAACCTAAGAAATGTCAGGCCGTGCTCTATTAAAAAGCGTCGTCAATTTTTATTGCTCTTTGCAATTGTAGATGGTGAAGTCAAGATTCTAACAAAAATTGCTACAATCTTTGGTTTAGTTTTAGCGCTGTACACAGTTATGACTGCATTTAAAATGAGTGCCCCGAGATACTACTTGGTTAAAGTTGCTGGGTTAATTTTCTCATTTAATTTTAGAAACTCAACAGAAGATCGGAAGTAACTGTTTGAATGTATTCCAATGAATAAAGGGGAAATAACTATGAATATTGCATGGTCTAATGATGCCTGACTCAACAGTGAATGCAAATTATTAAAATGTGTTCCTATGCTGTATATTCTTGTGAAGCAACAGTTTTTAATAGCATTAAACTCAAAAATATTCAAAAATGCAGCTATGTTACTCCTGATTCATTTTTTGCAGTGTGGAGACTGCCTTCCAAAACTAACAATGCTTGCTGTGCACTTGGCTAGCACTGTGTTAGAAAATCCATCTAACACATGGCAACCTCTGCTTTCAGGCCATCTGCTTGTTCCTGTCATCGGCTGAGTGAGATATTTTACTTCCATTCCACACAGAAGTAGATCTCTCTGAAATATGGTTCAAAGAGACTGCGGTGTTCACCCAGGCAAGAATGTTCTCCCCTTTTTTATATAGGGGAAAGTTCCCAACAGTATGAATGATTTTTTTTTAAAAAGCTACAAGTAGAATGACAATTGTTTTTGTGTCTTTAAGTGAGGGGATTGTCTAACACCATCATAAACCACAGTTTGGTCTTTTCTTCCTCCACTTCTTCCTGTTTCATCAATGAGGTTGGATTTGCTTGCTGCAAGCACATACTTTCCAGTTGGAAAATAAATAACTGGGGAATCTACACATAAACGTGCACATAATTCTAACTATACACACACTTATTTCTCTGGAATATTTGAACTATAAATCACCCTGGTTGCCTCTGATTACACCAGTGAGTCAGTGTTTGTGCAGGTGTTAAATCTCTCTTTGAAAATGAGCATTTCAGTGAAAGAACAAGTAGCCATGACATCAACAGAAGCACAATCTATTTCTTCACTACTTGCTGATATCTCTAGGTCTCTGTTGCCCAAACCGCTCTCACTTTGTATTTTATAGGAGTTGGAAATACAGCAAAATGCATATATATTCTGTGAAGCGCTTTGAGACATCTAGAAGACGTGAAAAATTTAAACTCATCTTGTTCTTCAGGTAGGTTATTATTTAGACAGATGAGACTTATGTGAGATTTACTGTATTTTAAATCACTAGCTGGGTAGACCATTGCATACAGACGGAGAAGGGAATAGAGAGATATGGGATTAGAAGTGGTGGAGACTCATATGATTTATAAACACGGCAATGTTATGTGTTTCGCTTTACTTTACAGTATATTCCGTGAAATGCTTTGAAGACGTGATAAGGCAATAACAACAATAACAAGATTACATTTTATAGCGCCTTTCACGCCGGGAGGACGTCCCAAGGCGCTGGACAAAGTACAACATTTCAGACCCGAGCTGTACAATATCAAATGCAAGGATTATTATTATTACAACTATAATAATAATTCTGGCATTTCATATAGCCCCTTTAACATCTTCAGCTGATCTGTTATTCAATAATTGTTTATTTCCTTTCCTTCAGTTTCAATGTCTTTTGATATCTTAATAAGACCACAATCCATGATGATTTCTCCAGTTATTCAAAATTATGTCAGCTGCCTGGTCTGGCTGAGACATGCCATATTCTGCTCTTTGTTCCCACTCACAGTAATAAACATTTCCACTGCTCCGGGATTTCATCTCTTCCACGTTACTTTCTGTGAATAGGAGTTATTGTGCTTTCTTTGTTTCCTTTTATTTACCCTGAGTTTTGCTTTAAATTTTTCATCTTTCTGTCTTTTCCTATTTGATCTTGATTTTTTCTTACAATTTTGGTTCTTTTTATTTTCCCCTTCCTGACCTGTGTGTCCTTTCATTTTAAAGTTCACTTGGTAGCTACTCTGATTCCATTTTACTTCCTCTTCTGTTACTCAGTTCTCTGCAATACTAGCTGGTCTCTTTCATAACAGTTGAAATATCAGCCTTGCCAATCTTCTAATGATTGACTTTAGTTTATAGGAAACAAAATTCAGTGTCTTGAATTTTAATCATTGTAGCATCATATTCCAAGAAAAATTAATAATTACAAAGTAAATAATTGCACAGTAATAACTAGAATAATGCTAAAATATGCAACCGACTAGAAAATGAGACATAGCAAGGTTAACTGAAAAGTTATTTCTCTTTTAAGGCTGGTGTGACTGTAAACCAACTGGTCTGCATTTAAAATAATAATCTTTGAACTTTATCAATAATGTGAGAACTACCATCTAATTAACACATCACACTTCATAATATTTGCATTATTCCTTGTATCTGTCTTAAAAATATTTTCACTATTTGTATGTATGTCTTAATGATTTAAATTAAACCAAAAAATATTTTGTCGTGGGGTATTGTCGTTGCTATTTCATTGTTCTTCAGGGCCCCATTGTTTTGAAGACTCTTTGAATTCTGTGGCTCTACACTACTGTTTTGCCAACACACGTAACTGCTATGAGTAAATGTGGCACACAGGTTCTAACTCAATGAGGGTAATTGACTCAATGGTGGAAGACAGATGTGCTCACTGGGCCGTCCATGTACCTTATGAGGATGTCCTCTGTCCTCCTCATAAAGTACAACTAAAATGCACAAATGTTATGAGCTAGGTGCATTGGGAACAAATATCCGCCCGGATCGGAGTCAGGCTTCATCACTGTTAAGCGCTCTGAGATGCTACCCTGCGTGGAGGGAGCTATATAAGTGCAAGTTGTTGTATTATTGTTGTATCAATTATTTAAGTCCTTCTTCTTCTGATTTTTTGGTTCAGTTAAGCTATTATTTCATTCTGAACTTTCTTATTGGAGTTCCTCTTTGTACCTACCTGAAGAACAAGATGAGTTTAAATAATTTATATTTGCTTACTAGAGTCCCTCCTTGTATCTACCTTTATACCTTGTTAATATCCTATTGAAGGCCGGTTACCTAAGTAATATTTGAAAGAAGTTTAGTAATGAGTTGTACAGAATTCAGATATTTGATTTATTAACTGCCCTCCAGATAACTTCACTTTGTTTATTGAGTGAACAACTGAGCCATACAATTATTTGTGTGAGTTTTTCAGTGAGTGTCTGCAGGCCACTCGTCTGTAGAGGGAGTCATAACCGAGTCTGATATTTCCCAACCAGTTGCCACACACATGCACAAACAATTGAAGGTGATATAGAGATACAAAGAGCATGGACCTTTGCTGGTTTTCCCCTTCTTAACACCGGGAAGGCAAGAGTCTATTTACCTTTTCCATGCAACCCTGGCTGAGTCCAGCAAACTCAGTATGGTTGGGGTCAAACCAGTGAGTCAGTTAGCTGCAGTTTTCCGCCACTGCCTCTCATCGCAGGCCGCCGACACCATCATCCATGCGTTCATCATATCCAGGCTCAACTATGAAAACTCCCTGCTTGTTGGCCTCCCCAACTCCTCCCTCTACTCCTCCCCACATCAGGCTCTGCAACCCTATCACCCCCATCCTCGCCCGGCTCCACTGGCTTCCCATCATTCGGAAGGTACAGTTCAAGATCCTGGTCTTCACCTTCAAAGTCCTCCATGGCCGTGCACCTCCCTACCTCTGTGACCTCCTAACCCCTTACCAACCTGTCCACTCCCTCCACTCAGTGGGCTCCAGCCTGCTTCACTTCCCCTGACTTGCCTGCTCCACCATTGGCGGGCAGGCCTTCAGCCACTGGAACTACATCCCACAGTCCCTCTGCCTCACCCCCTCCCTTGCCTCCTTCAAGACCCGTCTCAAGACCCTCCTACCCCTACCCTCCCTCCAACCCTCCTGATCCCACCCATCAGCCCTGGTGCGGATCCCTTACTGCCCAGCCCCTTGGGACATCCCGCTGACCTGAAAGGCGCTATGCAATTGGAATTTGTTGTTGTTGTTTTCTCCACTACACTATTGTGGTTGCTCCTGATTTAGCATTCTTGATAATACTTCCAATGAACTATTATCACACAGATTTCTTATTTTCCAATAGAAATGCATTTCTTGGGCTGTTCTTTTTCTTGTACCAATGTGTCTTGCTTCAGATTTTCCACATTCAGTTCTTCCTGCCTTTTTTTTGTTAGCTCATCCTCATTTCTTTAAATGACTACAATCTCTCTATCTGCCTAAAGTAGTTGTTTAACAATATTCTTACTAACATTGTCTTTCTGCACATCATATTGTATGAACTCTGCAAACAAAGATCTCAAAACCACTAGTTATTAACCTAGAAAGAACGTTGTCCATTTATTTTCTGTAGCTTTTTACTCAAATCATTTTCTTTTTAATTTAGATACCTATTTTGTCATTCATGCTGGGAGCTTTAACCTTTAGAAGCCTCACTTTATCAAATGTGCTTCTTGATAATGATAATAATACTTGATTTGATATAGCGCTTTTCATGTCTTCTAAACATCTCAAAGCGCTTCACAAAATATACTGTAAAGTGAATTGACTGTACATTTTGTGGGCGAAACGCGGCAGCCAATTGCACACAGCAGTGTCCCACAAATGGTCATGGATTGAGTGACTAGTTTTATTATTGTGTTTTTTTTCTTGGGGGATTATTATCAGGCATGTGAAGTAAGGAAACTTGCCCAAGGTTTCTCCCTGCCGAGAATCGAAGCCAGGTCTCTTGCTTGTGAGGCGAGTGCTCTAACCACTGAGCTACAGGACTCCACAAGGACTCTTGATATCAGTTGTCTGCCTAATGTGTGTCAGCTCAGCTCAGTGGTAGCATGCTTGAGTCAGAAGGTTGTGGGTTCAAGTCTCACGTTGGGACTTGAACTCACATTATCTAAGATGACACTCCAGCACTGGGGGGGATGTTGCACTCCAGCACTGGGGGGGATATTGCACTCCAGCACTGGGGGGGTTGTCCTTCAGATGAGACCTTAACTGCCTATTCCGATGGCACTGTTTGAAAAGAGAAGGGAGCTTCTTCCGGTGTCCTGGCCAACAATCCCAAATAAAATTGATCACTCACTCAGTGGCTGTTTGTGGAACATTGCTGTGGGCAATTTGCCTACAAATATACAATCACTTCATTTCACAGTAAATCTTGTGAAGCGCTTTCAGTCGTCCTTCCAACGTGATAAGGCTCTATACCACATGCAAGGATTATTATTACTATTAATGTCATTTAATGGTTCTAAAACCATCCCGACTGCACTTTTGAAAGGTTTCCATAAGACAATGATAGTCCCGTTAAATGTTCATAAATGTTTTCTCCCATTACCAATATTGGACTAATCATTCTGTCATCTTTTGTGAATTAGAAATAAAGTTGTTTTCCTTCTCAGGTTGCTTTCCTGGCATGTATTCCATCTGATCAAAATGCCCTAACAATAAATATTTGATACTTTGTTTCTTATATGTGAATACTTTCTGAATCTCAAAACTTACCTAGTTTCGTAAGTTAGTATGTGGACAAATTCCATAAACAATGATGTGAGGAATACATTCTTTACCTTTCGTGTTTATGTAATGTATCCCTTAAAGAACATTTTAAACTCTGCTAACTTTGTACATAAACTTTAGAAATACTTTTAGTCCGTCCTGCTGCTATCAACAAGCTGGATTTCTATTTACTTATTCTTTCTGATGCTCACTGTACTTGCTCCAAACTTATGTTTATGTTATTTTCAGACTCCACAGCTTGCTGTTTCCTCATCTTTTAAAGCAAAAGAAAATCAAATTATATAGAACTTTACAGCACAGAAATAGATAATTTGTTCACCTGTGCCGATCTTTATTCTCCATATAATCCTCCACTTCTCCAATCCCCTCTCCTATATCCCTCTATTCCCTTCTCTTTCATATAAGTTTCCACTTAAATACGTTCCTGCATTTTGCATCAACCAGAGCTTCAGGCAGTGAGTTCCACATTCTCACCAATCTCTGCTTAAAGAAGTCCTTCCTAAATTTCCCTTTGCTTCATGTACTTTTGGTTATATGGGGACTTTGAATAAGTCACCATTCAGATTCCTTAAAGAATCTTAGAAATCGACACAAATTAAGACCCCAATTGACATTCTCTTTTGGATTTATTTTAAAATCCATCCAACAATTGCTTCACTAATGTCTTAGCTATAATGAATTAACACAGAAAAGATATTTGACCCAATGAATGTTATTTCTGATGGCAATAAATAATTGGAAATGCAGTCGACTGTTCCTGATTTACGTAATCTCGTGAAGAACATAAAACATCCACAAAATTCACAATTGATATTGTTTCATTTGTTGACAAGCTGTGCAACTGTGGTTTATTAAATAACCTGGTTAAT